TGTTTATGTTGATGACATAAATCTTGTTGGAACTCCAGAAGAGCTCCAAAAGGCAATTGAATATCTTAAGAAAGAATTTGAGATGAAAGATCTTGGAAAGACAAAACTTTGTCTTGGTCTGCAAATTGAACATTTAGCAGACGAAATCTTTATCCATCAATCTGCCTATACAGAAAGGGTATTAAAATGCTTTTACATGGACAAAGCGCATCCATTGAGTCCACCAATGGTTGTTCGATCACTTGAAGTGAATAAAGATTTGTTCCGACCTCCAGAAGAGGATGAGGAACTCCTTGGGCCCGAAGTACCGTATCTCAGTGCAATTGGTGCACTAATATATCTTGCTAATGCTACAAGGCCTGACATAGCATTTTCTGTTAATTTACTTGCAAGACATAGTTCTTCTCCTACACGGAGACATTGGAACGGAATTAAGCATATATTGCGATATTTAAAGGGAACTCTTGATATGGGTTTCTTTTATGCTAACAAAGATAGTGCAGATCTTGTTGGTTATGCAGATGCAGGTTATTTATCTGATTCCCATAAAGCTAGATCTCAAACCGGGTACGTGTTTACATGTGGAGGTATTATCATATCATTGTGCTCCACAAAATAATCTATTGTTGCTACTTCTTCAAATCATGCTGAAATAATAGCTATTCATGAAGCAAGTAGGGAATGCGTATGGTTGAGATCAATAATTCATTTTATTCGAGAAAAATGTAGTTTGGAATGTGAGAAAAGACCCACAATTTTATACGAAAATAATGTTACATGCATAGCCCAATTGAAGGGAGGATTTATAAAAAGAGATAGAACGAAGCACATTTCACTAAAATTATTCTACACACACAATCTTCAGAAAAATGGTGACATTGATGTGCAACAAATCCGTTTAAGTGACAATCTGGCAGATTTATTTACTAAATCTTTACCAACTTCAACTTTTGAGAAGATGGTATACAAAATTGGAATGCGGAGACTTAAATATTTGAAACAAGATTTTCATCAGGGGGAGTAAAATACGCGATGTACTCTTTTTTCCTTATTAAGGTTTTTTTTCCCACAGGGTTTTCCTTATAAGGTTTTTAATGAGGCAGCTAGCAATGCGTATTACTAAATATGTGTACTCTTTTTCCTTCACTAGGATATTTTTCCACGGGATTTTTCCTAGTAAGGTTTTAACGAGGCACATTATCTTTTAATGAACATCCAAGAGGGAGTGTTATGAATATATTATATTATGGATGTTCATTTAGTACTCCGTTGTAAATAAGCTTCTTGAAGAAGTTTATCCATATGAGACTCCGCCGTAAATATGTTTATCTATTTAGTACTCTATTGGAAATAAGCATCCTGAAGAAGCTTATCCTTTCGGTACTCCGTTATGGATAAATATTACCCATGATAGAAGATTATCTATATCTGGCACAACAACTTAGAGTATCAGCTTACACAGCAGCTTACAAGTAGCTTACACAACAGCTTACAAGCAGCTTACACAACAGCTTGCAGTAGCAGCTTACACAGCAGCTTCCTTTCTTCTATAAATAGAGGAGAATTCAGTTCATTATGTACATAAGTTTGAAATTTGAATAATATATCAGTTTCTCTTTATACTTGTCTTTACTTTACAGTCTTTATTTTATAACAGTTTTAAATCTTAACAAAAATTACTTCTAGATGTGAAGGGACAAACTTCACATGAAGAAAAGGTTGAGGGCCAATTCAACATTTAAATTATATCTTAAACAGATTACCGGCATCGAGAGGGAGATTTCCCAATTCCCATAACCCGACAGAATAGTGAAGCCCTAATTCATCACTGAAACCAGTGGACCAAAATGAGAATTCTTTTTTATTAGTTTCAAAAGCATATTAGAGAAACCCCATTTTGGTTTAAAGTTCATTGATTTGCAGCTTATAAAACCGAAAAGGGTAAATCTTTGTACTCAAAACTAGCTCTTTATTTTTATCTCTTGCAAATTTATTTAGAAAGATTCTGATCATTGCTTTAAGTTCGAAACGTTTTGCTTTGCTGAGGTTTTTGTTTTGACCCTTCTTGCATTTGATGAAATTCTATGGCTTAATATGCTTGTCTTCTTTGCTAAGTTCCTGTTTCACAGCAAAACTTGCTAATATTATCATGAAAATGCTGTAAAAAGTTTTATTTTGAACCCCATGATTGGAATTTTGTGATTCTTGATGGAAGTTGGAATCTTTATTCATTTGTTGGGGGCTCTGTTATAACACCTTATTGTGAAAATTTGATGAAATCCTATGTCTTACGCAATTGTTATATGTTTTAATTTTATGTTTCATAATGATATGACGGGGATTGGAGACTATTCTGCTTGAAATTACCTGCATAGCTGGTCTTCTCTTCTTTTGCCTACTCACATTTAGATATGCATTTTTTCCTATGAACGAATATTTTGTCGTTTGACTGGTTTTTTGGTACTAGTTGGGTAAAAGTTATTTTTTATGAATACATACTATGTATTGAATCCCCTTGATTTCTTTGTGTATTTACTTCTTTAGATTTTGACTCCCCTTAGTTAAAATCCTAGCTCCGCTACTGACTGTTTGTTGATTCTTATGTTGTATTTGGAATTTGGTTTTGTTCCACGATCATGATAGCTTGACATGTATTTGAAGATGCTAGGTTAATCCTCATGTTTTTGTGTCCTTTCTTATGGATTATGATTTTAAGTAGTACATTTGGCCTTAATAAGTAACTCCTATTAGATTTATTTTATTTCCTGATCAGGTTTTTGGTTTTCAAGATTGTTACCCTTCTAAAAAGAAGTTTTTGAAGATTGTTACCTTTTGTGGCTCTGCGGTCATGTACACTACTTCATGATGGGAACTGAAGATAAAACACTGTTTTGTTTCTGTCATTGGGGTGGAAAGAATAAGGTGCTGCCAGATGGATCCACTTCGTATGTGGGAGGTATTACTGATCAGATTATTGTGAAGACAGGCATAAAGTACAATGATTTTGTGAATGCAGTTTTTGACCGATTAGGCATTGATCCTTCTGATAAGGTCTTGCAGTTTACAGTGAAGTTTGATAGGGCCCAATTGATACGGCTGAGAGACCAAGAAGGTGTAGATACTCTGTTACAATTTAATGATGGTTTTGCCCATGTTTATGCGTCAACTTCAGAGAAGGAGTCTAATTCTGCAGTTGCTCCTAATATGGATACCACTAGGTAACGGCTGTCTTATATTGGTCCTCAAGATCTTTATTATAGTAAACTTTTTGAATACCTAGAGTTTGATTGTAAATAATGTTTGTATATTATGTCACAGGGTTTCAACCACTGAGGTTGAAGCAGTCTCTCTCGGAAGTGCCGAGGAAGAACAAGTTAGTGCTGATACTCCTACTCCAACTCCTGCAGCTTCGCACCAATGGATCACCGATGGAACTCCAGATGCTGCTTCCAACTGGAGTGAATTACTTGTTGGGGAAGGGCAAGCTTTTGAGAATGCGGATGCTTTTAGGCTTGCAGTTTTCAAGTATTCGATCGCAAATAAATTTCACTACAGAATTTTGCACAATAAACCTAGATACATTAGCATCCATTGTGCTGCTGATGGGTGCCCATGGAAAGTGAGTGCTGGCATCGAGAAGAAATCTCAAAATGTTTCCATTAGGAAATTTGTTGACTCTCACTCACATCCTCCTCTAGATTCATCACAGCTGAAGCCTCGGATCAGGATGAAGTGGTTGGGCGGTATCATGCAAGAAGAAATATTGGGCAGTCCTGATTGTTTGCCTCGAAAAGTGTGCGAGGATGCTGAGAAGAATTTGGCAATCAAATTGACCTACCGTCAGGCTTGGAGTGTGAAGCAGAGGATAAGGGAGGCAATTAATGAGAAGTCAGGTGAATCTTATAAACTGATTCCCTGGCTATGCAATCGCTTAACTGAGGCAATGCCCGGAACTATTGCTACATGGTCGTGCACCGAGGAGAACAGATTCAAGCGGCTCTTCGTGTCATATGACTGCTCAATACGTGGCTTCCATGTTGGATGTAGACCTTTGATCTTTATTGACGTTTACAACTTGAATGGGCTACCCAACAGCTCCTTTATAGTTGCGTCTGCTTTGGATGCAGACAATCAGATGTATCCTCTATCTTATGGCGTTCTCCTGTCCATGAATGAGGATGATCTTATATGGTTTCTAGAAAAGCTAAAGCTTGTTGTGCAAAACCGCGAGGTCGTCATAGTTTCTGGCGCAAGTCTTCCTTTTCTCTCCAGCTTGGACAAAATGTTTGGTGATGAAAACCACAGCTTTTGTTTTCATTGTGTAAAAGAGAATTTCAATAAATTCGTTGATGGTAATACTGCCTTTAAAGTGCAAGGGAGAGGTAAGGAGATTGCACTGAAGTACCTGACTGACATTGCCTATGCACGAACACTAGATAGTTATAATGAATCTCTAGGCAAGATCTGTTCTTTCCGCAGAGAATTGTATGATTGGGTAATAGCTAGCCAGCCGGAGCGTTGGTCTAATGCCTTGTTCAGGAAACCTCGGTGGGATCAGCTGAATTGTAATTCTATGGATGCTCTGAATTCTTTTCTAGAGGAGGAGAAGTTTGGACATGTCTTAGAGTTGATGGAGGCTTATCATGAAAAGCTTTATACGTTATTACAGAATAACAAGCTCAAAATCGAACAATGGAACCTTCCGATTGGTCCTCGGGTCGCTGAAAAGATTTTTGAAAATCAAAAGGTCGGGGATAACCTTGCAGTGACGGTTTTATCTGATATCGAGTTCAAACTACGAGAGCTACAGGGCAGAGAAGAAGTTGTAAATCTCAAACTCTGGACATGTACATGTTTAGAGTGGCAAATGACAGGCATACCATGCAGCCATGCATGTAGTGCAATTACATTGGCGGATATGAACATTTTCCAGTATGTAGCTGATTGGTACAAGAGGGAGACACAGGAACATATATATGCTGAAGTTATGGATGAACTAGCAAAATTTGATATACCACATCCAGATGATATCGTTTCTTCGGCTTCTTCAGGTAATGATGTAGTGTTGTGTCCACTTTCACCGCATATTAAGAGACCTCCTGGTCGTCCCCGGAAAGAACCCAAAGGACCCCAAGTTGAAACTGTAAAAAGACCCATACGCTGTTCTAAGTGTGGTGGTGTTGGACATAATAAACGTACTAAATGCAGTTCTGTAGCACAGTAAATTATTGTCCAAGGTATCAACAATTTTATCAGTGAACCCTTTCTCCAGTTTAACTTTCAGTGCAGCGTTTATGACTGAACTTTATGCCCATCAATGAGACATACTATTGAGTGTAGCAGTACTTCGCACTAACTGCTGTACAATTTTGAGTCAACCTGTGTGAGCACGCTCGCACAGCTGGTCTCATGTCCGGGTAAAGGAAAGTTGTGCTGGACTGAAGGCAGCGTAAAACCAGACAATTTATGATAAATCCTCACAATACATCGAACATAGATGGGATAGCTGACCTTGGCACATTTTCGTGCCAGTAGAAGATATGGAAACCTTGTAATTCTTTTTATTTTTATTTTGTATAATATTGGCCTGAGGTGAGTTTCAATGGAGTGACATAGATGAGTGAGAATTCATAAAGTCGACCCTTTTAACCTCTTCGCCATTGAGGTATTGCTGTAGAAGTAGTTGTCCGTCTATGATGGTATGATTATGCAGTTTGCGCATATATCATTGCTAAGGCGTCAGCTACATGTATTCTTTCTAAGCACATATATCTTGCTTAGAAGGAAGTTATCAAGATTTGCTAACAAGTTAGTTGATATGAAACCAGGCTTTGGTAAATTCTGGATAATTGCCACAGAATCAAGAGACTGCAGCTACTGCTATTTGGTGAATTTAATAGATAAGTTCTTAATTTTGACAAAGTATATAGGTCAGGTTGAACTTCCCAATTTTCTTAGTTATTTTAGTATATATATCTTGAGCGTGAAATGGGGATTTATATTCAGATCCAGTATGTACCAAATAGTTGGTGATAAAGACCGTTAGGATGTATTTGTAGGAAGAAAATTGAGAATGACATTTTCTTACCCTCTCAACCAAAGTTGTTGTAGTCTGTTTTATACACAATTTCATATTAGCAACCACAACAATAACGATAACAATAGAATAATAACGATAATAACAACAGAATATAACCAAGGCAGTGGCACCTATAAACAAAAACATTGGGATTTTGGGGCTAGTAGGAGTTATCCTCAAACAAAATGTGAAGAGATGTTTGCCTATTTGCAATTTAGATATAACAAGAAAGGAATTAGAGAAAAATGTGTACAAATTATTTGTTGAGTTCTATCATTTTCTCAACCTTCGACATGTTTAAGTCATGAATCAGAATACAATGATCCTTCGTTCAACCATTTACCCAATAATTCAAATAGACAAGTACATTAATATTTCATAGTCATAGCCGATTTCTCGTTCTCTAAGTTACAATCTTCCTTGACCAAAAACGCCTTAGGATTTTAAATAGTTATGTTAATACTAGCAAATGTATCAAAGTAACATGTTAACAAAAAAGGAAGATGGGAAAATTATATTGTATAGCGAAAAAAAAAATGTATATTTTTTTGTATATATATATTTTGTATGTTATATACAAAAATTATATAAATTTTATATTTTTTTTCCGGCTAACGAATGTAAATAGTTTTTGACGCAGGTTTAAAATGATAATACCCCAAACAAGATTCATTGGGAGCCTTTCCTTCCATACTAATACTTCATAAACATCACACATTTTATGGACTAATCATTTGTATTTGTTTACAAGCATTAAAATATTGGTGACAGTTATAATTTAATTACAATGGTGAAAGGAATAGTTCTAGAAAAGAACTAACTGTTCAAATGCAAATAATCATTCACTCATCATCTAAATTTATTTAACCCTTTTTGGCTACACTGTAAACTTGATTGAGTTTACAGGGTCATAGTCTCACTTGTTTTTGAATAAAAACAAACAATAAAAGAAGATAAAAAGTTGATGGAAATTGAATTCCATTATTCTTTTTTTCCACCCTTTGTTTTTGCTAAAATAACTTTCAGACAGTTCTCCTACGTGGGTCCCATCTATTGCTGACATTGCACTCAAACAACCAGAATCCACAGTAGCTGCTAGTGACAGCTCACTTAACTGTTCTTTACACAGAAATACGACAAACTAGCAGTGGTAATATTAATCTAACTCAAAAAAGAAAAAAAGAAACTAATTAAAAAGGGAAAGAAGAAGAAAATCTCAATTTTCTATATTTCTATAGCTAAAGTCCAAAAGCCTTCAGAGTAAAGACACAGGATTTATCATATCAAAATCCTTCTCAGATCTGTTTCTAGATTTCTGCATGTTTAATCCACATTATTAAGCTCAGATCAATTAAAATCCTTTCCAATTTTATCAAAAACCTCTCTTTCTATACAAACCCAATTCAAGATCCAATTTTTCACTCAAACCCAGTTGTAAAAACTGAGATTTTAGCTCTCTCGTACCCAGTTTATCTTCAAAAAAGATTAAATTTTTCCCAAGATCCAATCTTTTCTGCATCTGAAATTTTAGGTTTTGACGGTAATTAAAGTTAGCCCTTTTAGCCATACATTGTTTTTTCAGTGCTTATCAACTTCAAGATCCAATTTTTATTGTTGATTTTGTGTTTTTGAGTAAAGGGTCAGTTTCAGATTAGAGGTGAGTAAGCCATTATCTTGATTTTCTCCTAAAAATCCTTCTTTAGCTTAATCTTGGTACTCTGTTTAGATGATTTGCATTTGATTTGGAGACTTAAGAGTTTTGTAGAAATGAAGGAATTGAATTCAACATCTGACCCAATTGGGCAAAACCTGATAAAGGTTATAAGCAATGTGTGCTTCTCAGTTTTTGTATTCTCTGTGCTCATATTTACTGTAGTTGCTATTACATACCAACCCCCTGATCCATGGGAATCTTCTAGAGCTCTAACTAGAGTTTTCACACAAGTCGAAAATGCTACATTCAAAGTTGATAATTCTGTCCTAAAAACTGGTGAAGATGTTGCCACTACTCCCATTGCAGCTCCTGATGGAGCGTTTCCTTTAGTGCCGATTACTGAAGCTACTATTGAGAAATCCGAAGAGATACTGCCCAATGTGACTTTGAAATCAGGATGTGAGGATGTGACTGTAGTGAATTGTTCCGATCCTCGGATCTTGATCACGATTCAGAGGTTCAATTTGAAGGCTTTTAAGTCCATTGCGTTTTTGGATTATCGAGCACCTGTTAATGGATCGAAGCCGACTGAGTGTGATGTGGCATGGAGGTTCAGAAACAAGAAAGAGAGATCTTGGAGAAAGTACAGGGATTTCCGGAGGTTTAGGATTGGATTTACTGATGACTGTAGTTACAAAGTGGTTCATGCAGGTCGCTGGCATTCAGGAGTAAATGCCCGTCGCCCAAGAATCCGTGTTAATTCCACTAGAACTAGCCCAAAAGCCAAAATTGCTCCACCTGTTCGAGATGAGGAGATCAATGATACCATTCCAATCTTGGGATCAGATTCAGCTTTCAAGAACGGGAGATACTTGTACTATTCACGGGGTGGTGATTACTGTAAAGGAATGAACCAGTACCTATGGAGTTTTCTATGTGCTTTGGGCGAGGCTCAGTACTTGAATCGTACGTTCGTGATGGATTTGAGTATCTGCTTGGCAGCTTCTCACACTCGTAGTCATAAGGATGAGGAGGGGAAAGACTTTAGATTCTATTTTGATTTTGAACATTTGAAAGAGACTGCATCCATCGTCGAGGAAGGAGACTTCCTTAAAGATTGGAAGAAATGGGATAAGACGCATAAGAAGAAAATCTCCGTACGAAAGGTTAAGGACTACAAAGTGTCCCCCGTGGAACTAACGAAGGATAAGAGCACAATTATATGGAGGCAATTCGACGCTCCAGAACCAGAGAACTATTGGTATCGGGTCTGTGAAGGGCCTTCCGCCAAATACATCCAGAGACCGTGGCAAGCTTTGTGGAAATCAAAGAGACTTATGAATATAGTAACTGAGATTAGTGGAAGCATGGACTGGGATTTTGATGCTGTTCATGTTATTCGCGGAGAGAAAGCACAGAATAAGAAATTATGGCCCCACCTGGATGCTGATACATCTCCTGATTCACTTGTCGCAAAGCTTCAAGGAATTATTACACCTTGGAGGAATCTGTATGTTGCCACAAACGAGCCATTCTATAATTATTTTGATAAGCTTAGATCTCACTACAAGGTGCATTTGCTTGATGATTATAACTACTTGTGGAGTAATACAAGTGAGTGGTATAATGAAACAACACAACTAAATGGTGACCGCCCAGTTGAATTTGATGGGTATATGAGAGTTGAAGTTGACACAGAGGTCCTTGTTCGAGCAAAATCACGGGTTGAGACATTTTACAACTTGACAAAAGATTGCAAGGATGGAATTAATACGTGTTAGACAGGTAGGAGATATCTTTCAGTGCTACGTAAACGTCATTACACTTGTTTCCCCTGTTTCAAAATTTGATTAGTTCTGTATTGGAGGTTTTTGAGTTCTTTCAAGCTTGTGATAATAGTTGTTCGTTAATGTATTGGTTGAACGCTTGTCTTGTCACACATTTGTACAATATTCAGCACTATAATCTTCACTAGATTGAGATTTGTTGCCTCTATATTGTCTCCAGAAACTTATCGTTCATCTTTGTTTAGTTTTATTCTCTCCTATTCCCAAGGACGGATATTGAAGCTTGACTTCATTACCATAATGTTCAAGAACTGAAACACTGAAATTAACAGTAAGTGCCAGTTTAAACATTAAGTTCTTTCTTGATTGTTCATGTGCAGGTATTGGTTTATAGGAAAAGTAACTAATTTGCCTATTTGAATGAGAGTGTTGACTCATTTTAAATGAGATCAAGATCATAGGTTTGTTTCAATATGCAATGAGGGACCAGTTCCAGCTTTGTTGAATCTCATCCCATTCAAAGCAAATCAATGTTCGTTTACCAAATTTACAACATTTCTTGCTATTCAAAACCAAAGTATTCTTTCTTTTGTGTGTTCCTTTTCACTTGGAATTTTCATGTGAGTGGTAACTTACAAAGTGTCTGTCAAACAATGGAAAATACAATCTTCACACTTGAATAATATGGCAAACTCCAGCCAGAAATTATGACTTCTTGTCACTGGTCCACCACTAGTGTTCCAACACCTGCTTGGTGCTACTTGATTGTGTATTGGTGCATAATCCTGCAAAATTAATATAACTTTTTTACTTTGTAGTCAATCTTGCTATTATAGGCATAACCCTTGTGATAGTTGCAACATTGTTGGTTTTGTTTCTCTTCCTAACACTTCTCTGGTGTTTTTTAACAGACCAATATCCTTTTTCTGTTCTCTTTTTCTTTGTGAGACCTCTGTTTAAGTACTATGTATTTTATTTATAAGGGAATGGTCTGGACCAGTTTGCACACACCTCGACTGTTTCACTCCCATCAATATAAGTATCACGTAACTATATTGCTCAGACTCTCCAAAAATGTTGCCATACATGTATCCTTAAAAAGTGGACTTACTTTTGGAGGATTTGACATACAACCGACGTCATTTTTGAAGGGCCCGAGGTAACTCTGCCCACTAAAACTTAGATAGATAGAAATAATCATCTACCATTTTTTATCTTTGTTGAAATTTGAACCCTGGTCTCCCGAGTTTCACCTACTTTATTATCATCTTCTTGTTGAAATATAGTTATATGAAATAAGATTTTGGGAACATTGTTAAAGAAAGTACCTCCATCTTTTCTAAAAGCTCTTTGGCTGTTGTAGCTGAAATGACAATATTTCTGGCTGAAGGCTTAATAAATCCTTCTTCTACACCTTTGTCAAATAATCCAAGCAAGCAATCATAATATCCATCAATGTTCAACAATCCAACCTGTTTCAACATATTGCAATCTTTTACCAAGGATTATGTCTATTGTTGGAAACATTAGATATGCTCAAAATACAATGCTCAAAATAAGTATCAATCAATAAACTATGTCTCAATTTCAAACGGACTAAAACTATATGACATATAAATCTCTAATCATATATATTAAAATGACTCTTGATAATCACCAAAACGTAGTAATTTTGTTCAAGTTTTGGTGGATAGAGTTACACATTACTCGTGCTAGTGAAGGGTAGTAGGCACGTCATGAAATTAGTCGAGGTATGCAGAAGTTGATTCGGACACCACAATTATAAAAAATTTAATAAAGCAAAAATGCAGAGGCTTGTGATATTCTAGAAATGTCTATCCTTTTCAAGGTAGGAAGGGTGTCGGGTTGAATGTCGATACAATTGTCATTGCTACCTAATTATATTGATTTGATTGAAGTATCTAACTTGTGGTTTCTTGCATGAATGTTTAATTAACAAATATAAAATTAAATGTCTCTTATTACTAAAGATTTTATGGTGACTCGCTAGATTATTTGTTCACTTTTTTGTCCTTTTCTGTCTATTAATTTAAAGAGCATTGTTTGTTTATAGCCATACTAGCTACAACTATGATATCAAATAAAATAATAGAAAAGAGTTCTCAAATTCTTGATCGGTTGAGTTTATTTGGTGAAACATGATACAATAAGACAGACTTGGTATGTCTACATCACATCATGAAATTATTAAAATAAAAATAATCCAAAAGGAGATGTCAAATCTTCATTTCACATATGATTTGGATTAATTAATTTTCTTTTGGCTGAGTTTATTATGTGAAGCATGACACATGCATTGATTGAGATTCTCTTATAAAAAAGAAGAAGAGAATATTCAAAAGAAAGGTATATTCTTAAATAGTAAGCGTAGTTGATGCTTGCTTTCTCGCCAAAAATAAAGATATTAATTGGAAATCAAATATCAAACAGTTAAATATCAGTCAGCAATCCCATAGCTCGTTAATAAATTAAAGTATCAGAAGTTAACTATTTATATAACCCTATCGAGGTTGAGGGCTAGCTCAATTGGTTGGGGTGTCAATGGTTCTGTTCGGCCGGTTATTTTATAAAATTTGTACTATACCAATTTTTCGATTATTCTATTATGTATAATCAAAACTAGACTTTTCGAAGTCGTCTCAAACTAAAATATGAGTATCTTATAGTTTTTAAATAGTGTAACCTGCTATTTCATTCACCTATAAAGTTTACTAATTAATTAGTTAAAAACAAAAAACAAATCCAAGCATTCAATTTCAGAAAATTTTCACCATGTATTCCCTAGAATATTACGTCAACAAAAAGATAGCTAACAATCAAAGATAGCTATATTATCAGTAATCAATTTTTTATTCAATAAGAACATCTCAATTTTTTTTATTTGAACATACACACATATGATAGTATGATTAAAATGTAGAACATTAATCTAAAGTAAGAGAAGAAAAGTAATTAATATTCTTACTGGTTTTTCATGAATTCCAAGCTGTGACCATGTTATCACCTCAAGTAATTCTTCCATTGTTCCATATCCTCCTNCACTATTAATACTTCTCCCACTGCATGGCCCGATATCTGCTAACGTTTAATTAAAGATTAAACTCATCGAGTTAAAATCCTGAATCCGTTTCTCTATATGCATACATATCTTATACTGTATTTAAAGCGGGAGCAAAATAAAAAGAATTAAAGGGAGAAGAAGGAGGGTGTTTGAGATTTTATTTCGTACCTCTACTGGAACAAGAGCTCTTGGAATAATTCTATTCAATGGAAAAGAAGAAAGGAAAAAAATGAATAAAAGTTAATATATGTTCAGAAAATTGGTTCCAACTTGTTACCCAAACAAAAACCCCTACCCATTCAAAATTTACTATGTTTCACTTGTTGAACCACAATAAAATCCCTTCTTGGAAAAAAATTACTTATTACTTCATGTTTACGCTAATTCAATAAATACATAACATGTGTCGTTCGAGTACTGTTACTACTTAATTGTGAAAAGTCAACACACATTCTCATCTTAGTTTTATGACTTAAACACAAAAGTTACCGTATTTTGGTATAAACAATATGTTTCAATAAATTTCTCCTCTTCTTTTCTCCCTCCCGTCCTTCCAAAATTTAATCATACAAGAAATAATAATGGGGTTTGATGGTAAAACTTAATTGTAATGGATATTTACACCAAATCATATTAACTTACCATGATAGCGTGATTTAATATAAAGTAAAAATATACAATAGGTAATCATAATTTAGTGAAAGAAGCATGCACAAACATTTATGCATCAATTGATCCGGTGTAAACACTTAATGCAGACAAATTTTTACCAAGGTTCTGATTGAGGGTGAGGGTGGGGTGGGTGGTTTGTGGGGGTGGGGGGGAGTTGAAGGATTCTCACTTACCCAAGAACATTACATCCACCATCATAAACAGCTTGAGAAACCAACCCCATAAGTCCAATACTTCCTCCTCCATAAACTAGATCCATCTTCCTCTCCACCTTAAAGTTCTCTTTATTAATAATAAGAACCTCTAAAATACACATATAAAGAGAAAGGGAGAAGAAAAGAAGACCAGTTCTCTTCCAAGATCAAGAGCAGCATCGCTGAAGATTTTCCTATTGCCTGAATTGCTTCCACAAAAGACACAAATTTTCTTTAATTTGTCCATATGAATTTGATGTTTAATTTTCCTTCAACTTCAAAAGAAACAGCTAGAGATTGATTTGAGTACTTTGAAAGAGTTTCACTTTAAGTAGTCAACCACATAATTTGATATAGTATATAAATAAGCAATATTAAATTAAATAATTATTTAAAGTTACCATTATGATAGGCTTGCATGACATGTAGGTAAGGCAAGGTTCATGGCCCGTTGTAATAGAAACACTAATTATTCAACCTTTTTTTATTGTTATAAAATTTCTTTTTAAGATTTTTTATTCTAAAGTCAAAGAAAATTATCACATTTTCACCCTTTCAAACTCAACCCTTTTTTTTTAATTCCGGTGGGTGCACCAGAAATAGCCCTTTTCACCTTCTTGAACAAATTAATCTCCTGGAAACTTTTTAGAAGAAACCATGATATATAATATATGTATAATATATAGTGGCGGAGCCACATGCACCTTCCTCTAAATATTACATTGTTTAGCTCGGTAATCTTTTTAAACATATGCGTATATATATAATGACACTCCTTGACTTTATGGTGAGTTTATTTCTTTATATTTTGTATCCCTTTAATGAAAATCCTGGCTCCGCCACTGATAATATATCAATCGATGTATAATATATACATACTGACAAAGAAAAGTAAACAGTAAATTCAGCCGGCTAAGTGTATAAGATCCCTATTTTTAAAGTTCTTTTGAAATTAGTCTAATTGTCCTTTAGAACTCTATTAAGGTGGCTATACTTATACCATTTTGCTTTCTAGTTTTTTTCGTCCCACTTTAATAAATCCAAGTTGGAATTAATTCCGTTTGTCATTAACTTCTAAGAAAGTCAATCTACTTTATTTAAAGGCAATTTTGTAAAATTTTATTCAAACATATGAAATCCTAAGTATGTCCCTTGATGAATTAAGAACTTCATAATTAAAGCTATTTAATCTACTTTCCAAGTAGCACAGACAACATTGTTTTCAGACATTATTAATGATTTTGTAGAATTGCTACTATATAATTTTTATAGTTTAAGAATACTTACTATACTTTCTTTATTCTGAAATACTCCATATATAAACTAATAGAGGAGTACTGAATATTCATTGAGATATTAAAGTCTTCAACAATATCACCACCAGAATCGTAGAGGATTATTCTGAATTTTGTTTGGGTTGGAGAATATCCAAATGATACCAAGTGCTAACAACTATTGAATTTATTAGTCATTAAAAAAGAATTACATCATCAATGACAAATAATGCAATTTCTTTGTTCTTTTGCGTAGAATTATTAGAGGTACAACAAATCATGTTTTTTTTTTTTTTGGGGGGGG